ATTTATCGCTGGCTTCTCTGCCAGGCTTATATACTAAAAAGAGGGCGTCTAGCAAACACTCGGACATTTGCGGGGTTAAAGATAATTCGAAAAACTCCAGCGCGCATGCTCCCAGCGTCACGCGACTTCCGCTGTCGTAACAGTACTCTTGTTTATGTTTAAAACCATAATGGATACTGTGTCTCCTAGACACTTACATGTGCAGCAATGTATACACCTGACTCATCTATCTCTACTGGTTCAGTTTAGATCTGGTTATGTGAAAGACTTCTATATTAGCGTCAATAATAATTTGACTTCTCCCAGGTATTTCCATAACTCTGTTTAACCTTACAGGGACACATTCTAAGAAACTCCTCTGTTCAGATGTTCTGTTGCCTACTCTAGGTATAAAGCAACAGTGGACTTAAAAATGTACTGTTCTTAGGCTAAACGCATTATGCCACTCTTCTAATTTCTCATATGTATTAAATTTGTCCACATTTCATCTGAAAAGTACAAATTGATAAATTTATTTTTGTGTCTGTCTTTTGGTGCAAATATACATATTTTTTATTTGTTGTTAAAACAAGTGTATTCCACGTGTTTTAAAGTTTTATTTGTAATTGCTCATGTTATGTGCCCCCCAATGGCACAGCGGTATGTCTGCGGACTTACAACGCTAGAATCCGGGTTTAGATACCCGTGGTGGGCAGAGCACAGATAGCCCATTGTGTAGCTTTGTACTTAATTACAAACAATTTCACCTGTAACACTTAGATCTACTACTATCCTCACCTTTGCTGTATTGTGTATTACTCTGAAGTGTATCAGTGCTGTTGTGTATCGACTTCTGATCCCCAGCCTCACTACTTCGCTTAATGTACATGTTAGGCATCTGACTGTATGATTGATTCAGCAATAAGTTATCGTAACTTTTTACTTTATTACATCAATCCTAAGGTTTACTCCCCTCATTTCTATGTCTGGTTTACCTTTGGTTAATGGCTATGTCAGTGTCGTAATTTCTTAGAAAAGATTACCCCAAAATAACACATGTCTTTAAATCTATCTGTTTGCAGATATAACACTAATGTCTAAGTTTTAAATCTCCTCTGACTTGAACACAGTGGTTTCCTAACATTTTAATTGCCTGCCCTACTTCAGAAGTTCAGATGCTTTTTTGAAACTTTTTTCCATGCATTATCTAATAACATTGTTGTTGTTTTTCTCTGTTAAATCTGTACTTAGAAGTGAAGATCTAACACCTGTGTTGATTAATTACTGACATTATATAACTTCTATGTTTAAAACTAACTACTAGTGAAGTCTCATTAACACTATCATGCTTGATCTGTTAACTAACGCTGCCACAACTACATCTATTATTTTTTGTAATTCAAGGAGGAATTATTTTTCTTGTAACTTCCGCTATTTTTGTTTTGCCATTGGCATTATAGATTTCTTTTTTAAAGTTTTGTTGAATATATCGTTTTGTGGCTTAGCATTAATTTATGAACTAACTTATTTTAAACTCTATTCCTTATTTCACAATCTGTGGTTTGTTAATCTTTAAATCCTGAAGACCCTGTGATAATGTGTAATAGTCACTACCATGAGATAAATAATGTGTTACTTATAATACTTATTTAAAATATCAGGATATACAGTCCGTGATGTTACACACAGATCACCGACTAAAGGATGTTTTTATGATAATAAGTAATAAGGCTGAGACATAATGTACAAGCAAAGTATATTTATAGGCATTTGTAATGCACAAAGAGAGAAGAAAAAAAGAGAAATAAAGTACTTAAATAGACCCCTTTAAAGATCTCATTTTGAACAACACTTTTTGTTAGTACATGTGACTATATATATATATATAAGCACTATTTAGTGAAGTCAATCCATTCTCAATACCCTCTATGATAATGACATAAGTTCTACAATTCAGTATATGGGAAGCAGAGTCTTGTTGCAAAAAGAATGGCTGGAAATAGACCCTGACCCTCACTCAATAACTGAGCGGAAATGCCGTAGAGAATCCGATGGAATATTCGAATGGTCTGACTTGGATTGAATTGGACTAGACAGAGACTGACAATATAATTGTTACAACAGCTTTTATACTGGCTTTTGCTAACTGGTTTTGGTTCTGAATATATAGGGTATAGCATGATTGTTCGAAATATGATTTGCTAGTCACAGTATTGGTGCTGAGTAAAGACAGGTTTGATTCCAGTTAGAAGATTATCTCACAAAACTTACAATAGATATTGACCAACACTGGACGTTGGTAAACCATAACTTCATGAGTTATCAGCGTCAATGTTGTTGCAATGTTTGTGAAGCTTCTTTATCGCAGTTTATTTTGTTTTAACATTGTGGGTATACGAAGCTTCCTTCTCCCTGAGTTATTTTAACATTGTGGGTGTATAAAGCTTCCTTCTCCCTGAGTTATTTTTAACATTGTGGGTATACGAAGCTTTCTTCTTTTCGAGTTATTTTAACATTGTGGGTATACGAAGCTTCCTTCTTCCCGAGTTATTTTTAACATTGTGGGTATACGAAGCTTTCTTCTTCCCGAGTTATATTAACATTGTGGGTATATGAAGCTTCCTTCTTCCTGAGTTATTATAACATTGTGGGTATATGAAGCTTCCTTCTTCCTGAGTTATTTTAACGTTATGGGTATATGAAGCTTCCTTCTCCCCGAGTTATTTTAACATTGTGGGTATACGAAGCTTCCTTCTCCCTGAGTTATTTTAACATTGTGGGTATACGAAGATTCCTTCTCCCCGAGTTATTTTAACATTCTGGGTGTATAAAGCTTCCTTCTCCCCGAGTTATTTTAACATTGTGGGTATATGAAGCTTCCTTCTTCCCGACTTATTTTAACATTGTGGGTATATGAAGCTTCCTTCTTCCCGAGTTATTTTTAACATTGTGGGTATACGAAGCTTTCTTCTTCCCGAGTTATATTAACATTGTGGGTATATGAAGCTTCCTTCTCCCTGAATTATTATAACATTGTGGGTATATGAAGCTTCCTTCTTCCTGAGTTATTTTGACGTTGTGGGTATACGAAGCTTCCTTCTTCCCGAGTTATTATAACATTGTGGGTATATGAAGCTTCCTTCTCCCTGAATTATTTTAACATTGTGGGTATATGAAGCTTCCTTCTTCCCGAGTTATTTTAACATTGTGGGTTTACGAAACTTTTTTATCCTTGTACTGTTGTGGGTTTCTAGTACTTCTTTATACCTGTTATATTTTAAAGTTATGGGTTTCTGATGCTTTTTTATCACTATTTTATTTTACCTTTGTGGATTTCTGAGTTGTTATAACGTTGTTGGTTTCAGAAGCTTGTTTCTCCTTTTTTGTGTGAACATTGTGGACTTCTAAAGTAAATACTTCTGTTTGTTTGAACGTTGTGAATTTCGGAATTTAACGTATCCGTATGTTATTTTAACGTTGTATGCTTCGGAAGCTTTTGTATTTCTGTGTTTGTTAACGTTGTGGATTTTATAAGCCACCCGTGTGTTGTTTTTACGTTGTGGGTTTTTAGTTTCCCATTTGCTTTTAATATTGTGAGTTTTCTGAAGTTTTTAACCCTGTTTTGTTTTCACATTCTTTATTCGTGTATTGCTATAATGATGTGGGTTTCTGAAGCTTATTTGTCCTTGTGTTACAGTGATGTTATCTGCTGTATCATTGTGGTGCTTTAATGCAGAAGCTACCTCTATGTTGAAACTTTGTAGAATGAACGGTAACTGCCTGTTGTAGAAAAACAAGCCTTCAGAAGACGAAAGGCGGAAGACTTTTGAAAAGTCGTCTTCTACAGCAGGCAGTTGGCGTCCATTTTACAAAATTTCATTATGAATACTCTGCCTAAACAATCTATCAAAGAATATCTCCATGTTATTTTAACGTTGTGGGTTTCTGAAGCTGCTCTGTCTTTGTGTTTCTTAAATATTGTGGGCTTCTAAGATTTATTTACTCCTGTGTTGCTGAAACGTTTTAGGTTTCCAAATCTTCAAAGTAATATCTTTTGAAATGTTATATCTGTTGACTAGGTGTTTTTTGTTGTATTTCAAATATACAAAAATGCCGAAGTTAGCTTTTCACGTAATATAATGTTATCCCTTTAATATCTGTCTACATAGCTTAACTAGGTATAGTAGATGTTGGCGGGGAGGATTAAGAGTTTCCGAGTTAAACTCAGCGTAACAAAACAGTAAACACAAAAACCAGCTGTTAAATACACAATTGTTAGTGATTTACTAATTAATTACATATACAGGTGTTAATGATTTATTAGTTAATTACAAATGAGTTATTCACTTGTTAGTAATTAATGTCTTATTTTTACAGACTTTGAAAGCTACTGGATTTTATCGTGGATGGTATGTATAATATTAACCTTTTCTTCTTGAAGTTTACGATAGAAAATTTTACGCGTGGCTTTTGTTGCAGTTAATATAACGGTAAATAGTCCAATATGAACACCATTGTAATATTAAATGTAATTGACTGTAACCTGTAATTAGTAAAGTTGTCAGAAATTATACGTGTAAATAACCTCTTATCATCCTTTCAAGTTTTATGAAAAATTAGTTTGGTTTTCACATACGAGAAAATCAGTTCTTTTAATGAAAGTACAAATAAAACGTGTAACTTCACCATTCTCTAATTACAATCGATATACCTATAAGGTGTAATTTCACCGCCCTTAGGATACATACAGTTGAAGTAAAACAAATAATTTGAAAAATAAGGATTAAAAACTAGGATGGACATGTATACGCAATGTCCACAAAAGTGTCATTAATGTGTTTAACTAAATAAACAGGTCTTATAAACATATTGTTACATATCTGCTTGTTTGTTAATTTCCGGTATAAATTCTTTCTGAGGAACTTCAGCGGTACAAGTCCCATCTTGATTAAACCAGTTTATTCTTTCTCGATACAAACTTTTAGTACACAGTAATTCCACAGCCAGTACGTTTTTTGTAACTTTCAACTTAACGACTTTTATAATACACGCTATAAATCACAGCGATTCACAATATCGATAACTTAGCTCTCTACGAGTGCAAAACACACACTAGTTCCAAAAAGAATCGTAAATTATCCGAAACTCACCGTGACTACTGTTCGCTTAACTTTCGTCCTCCCCCACCCGGCTTTTCTCTGCCAGGCTTATATATTAACAAAGAGGCGTCTCCAACATTTGAGTAGTTCCCTGATAATTCGAGAAACTCATTCACGCATGCGCCAGCAGTGTCACGTGACATCCGCTGTCGTAACAATGTTTAGAACTTTGAGAATGAAATAGGGAGTTCACCTGAGAAAAACTTATTTGGATTGTAAACAGAATTATATGGCGAAATTACTTTGTTTCCTTCTTTTTATCAATCACAATTAATGAAATTTAAACATTAATTTTAGTTCTATGTTGTGTAGTATTGTTCATTTACGTCATTTAAAGTTGTTGCTTAGTGTGGTATTGAGTTACGTGACTTACGTAGTGCAAAGTTGTACAGGTGGGTAGAGTAGTATTGTTCTGTTACGTCGCGTTGTATTGTTTAGTTACGTTATGCAAAGCTGGTCAGTTAAGTTGCATTGTGTAGTTATTCAGTTACATCATAAAAATTTATTCAATAGCGCCATGTAGTATTATTAGTACGCTGCGTGTTTTAGTAAAATAATTTCAAAATTTTATTGTTTCAGAACGATTCCTATGTCATGAGTATTGTTACTCCCGTAGCATCAGGTATTGCTGGAGGTTTAGTGGTTCTGGTCGTCTTACTTGTGTGCAGATTCATCTACCGATTTTATCGTTCTCGTGAGAACAGACTTAGAAAGAAAACCTTAAAGGTATGTATGTTTCAGTCCTCCAATCATGTGAGAAATCCTGAATTGGTGAAACTAAATCTTTAGTTTTGGTTCTCACAGTTAATAACTATTCTATTTAATCATAAAATGCTCTGGCAAAAGTATGGAGACACCCCTCGTAAGCAAGTATAGGCAGCGGAACCAGGAAGGGGGTATTTCAGTTTTGAACTCAATGGTTACTGTTAACAAAACAAATAGGCCCCCCTCCCCAATTCAAATTTATTCCGCCTCCTCTGTAAAAAGGTCGACTTGCCCATTCAGCATGCTCCAAAGGAGAACTCGGTAAGTATACAAACAGGGATGCAAAACACAAGTGGATTGACTGCATCATAGCATGTGTAAAATATGAATCTGGCAGAGAACCTGATGGAAAGTGGAAGTTTTTTTTCACAAAATAGTGGTATTGTTATTGACCTATTTTATTGGGGGGGGGGGGGGG